GGAAGCTCGGGACATGTCCCTACCAATGTACAGCGACTACTGAATTTTCCCTTGCCATAATTTTGTTCAAACGATTAAATATATGTATATATAACTGCTGTTGTTGTAATTTCACTTTCAGTGGCGCACATTTAATACATGTGCAGAGTAAGAACATATAAGGTAACCGAAGTGTTTAAAACATGCGTGCACAGTCCAGCTGAATGATAAAGTTTACCCTCTTTGACTTTGTTGTTCTGCTGTTTTGTGTTCATCTGCTTCTCCCATTTGCTCTTTTTACATTGACTATCACTCTATATAGACTAATATAATCAGATACAACAATCATTTCTTAAACATTAATTACAATATATACTGATAAATGTAACATTCACTAAAATGGCATCAGGTGAATGGACGCTTTCAACTGATTTCCTCTTGAACGGTCACCAACTGAATTGCAGTGGTTAAACTACGTAAAATATAGTGAATTAAGCTACAAACTCACTCATAATGCACAATGTTTCCATCTAACATGTATTTTGAGCTGCAGCTCGTCATATTAATGGAGTTAGCAGTAAACCGGTTTCCTCACCTGAATATGTTCGTAGATTTGTGTTTAATGATATCTTTGGAATGGAAATAAACATGGTCGTGTAAACATGGCTGAAGACGCAACGGGAGGAAACGGAGCGAGTCATTTATGCTGGATTCTAACTCAAACTCGAGACTTTCATAATTCACGTCAAGCGATTCACTAGCAAAACACAGTTCAAAAGAGCCATTCATTTACGAATTTTGGCATCGCTTGGGTGAAACAGAGGCTATAGAAACTATGAATCTAAACCATTGCGTCGCAAAATTATTCACTGTTTCAAAGTGCTCCAATTGGATCAAGTATTGCAAATCATTTGATTCAGATCGGGACTTCAAATCGCGAATCATTTTATTTAGAATGGAACTTCAAATTGCGTATCGCAAATCATTTGATTTATATCGGAACTTCACGTATCGCGAATAATTTGATTTATATCGGAACTTCGTGTATCGCGAATCATTTGATTTATATCGGAACTTCGCGTATAGACAATCATTCGATTTATATCGGAACTTCGCGTATCGCGAATCATGCGATTTATATCGGAACTTCACGTATCGCGAATCATGCGATTTATATCGGAACTTCACGTATCGCGAATCATGCGATTTTTTTTTAGGATTGGGAATCATTTGGTGCGGGTTTGCGAATCTTTTGATTCAGATCGGGGTTTTGGAGCATGTATTGCAAACCTTTTTCTCTGATTTCTTTTTTTTTTTTTTTAACAATACAAAAGGGTAGTGAATGACGTCCAGAGGCTCTAAAGACCCGAGGTGCGCATTTAAGGGTTAAACAAAACAAAGCAAACAAACAAAAAAACGAAAAACGAATTTCTCATTTCTCTTTATTTCTTTTTAAGTAGAAAATCAAATGACCAGAAGGTGCACAGATGTTTTTTTAATAAAAAAAAAAAAAAAGATTATAAACTTTTCAGTGTGACTAAATTTCTTACTATTATTTTTTTTTTACATTTACATCACATTCACAACCTGACTGTTGCACTGTCATTTTATTTAACATTTACAATAACAGAAGCTTTTACTTTTGTTGGTTGGTCCAGGTCAGATCTCTGGCAGCCAGTTTCAGTCCGGCTCTGCAGTCGCACATTTCTCTGGCTTTCCAAGATCTTCATCCGACCAGCTCCCATCAGGCTGTGGAGGATCAAGGAAGCGTCGCTCGCGCTCTTCCCCGAGACGAGAGCCCCGAACCCCCCAGAGAGCTGTTCCAGGTGCTGCTGGAGAGCCAGGAGAAGCCCAGTCCCTGGAGGTTTCTGCTGTCCGAAGCGGTCCGTCAGCGCAGTCCTGCTCTGTCCGTGCTGGCAGCCTGCCATCAGGTAAACAAGGGATACACCGATCCGATACTCAGTGTTGGGATGTAACTAGTTACATGTAACTAAATTGCTTAATTTAATTACAAAATAAATGTAATTGTAATCAGTTACAGTTACTGAGAAAAATTGTGTAATTCAATTACAGTTGCTTTTTAAAATGTTAACGATTACAAACAGGGTTACTTTCTCTCTCTCACACACACACACACACACTCTCTCTCACACTCTCTCTCTCTCTCTCTCTCTCTCT